CAAGAGTCTTATTAAATTGAAAGCTGTTGTTGCTACCTAGTGATTTTAGTCTTCCCATGTGGACAGATCACCAGGAAGGAGAAATGATATGGTCAAAAGGGCATTGATCTTCGTCATCAGGAACATATTGAGGGCTGCACTTACACAGTGAATGTGGCAGGGAAGATCATGTTTGTCACCCAGGTGACAAGCCTAGACATTCTGTAAATTTCCTATTGTCTCATTTCAATGTAGGTAGACAAATACAACTCCACGGCCCAAGAGGGCACAGGGATTGACTGGGGCTTAGACTCTTGAGGCTGAGGGTCTGTATCAGTCACCTAGGTCAAGACAAGTGCTAGCCAAGGGTGAGGGGCAAACAGAATGAGTGATGGGGGAGAATTACAAGTATTGGATAAGGTGTCAAGACCAGCCATCATTGAAGCTTTAGTCAATTCCACTAATGTTCTTTTTGTATGTTTCCTCTGGAAAAGGAGACCAATTAGAACCCCAGAGCTGCTCTCAAAGCATATTTTATGAAGCAAATTGATCAGTGTGGCATGGTAGATAGACTATAGTAGACCCATAATCAGCCTAGACCCCTATCCAGGAATGAAAGCTTCTTCTCTTAGCTCTGGTAGGGCTGCCCTGAGTTGCCCTTCTCAAGTGAGTCCTCTTTAGGACTTGGTCTTAACGGAAGAGAATGGTGTTCCACATGGTTACACCCTACCCCAGCTCTAGTCCACAGCAAAAGACTAGTAATAGGAGTTACAAAGGCATGGCTGCTTGCCCCATTTTGAAGCAATTCTTCAAGGCCAAGGCTCCCTATAGGAGAAGCTGAGGCCTTTGTTGTGACAGCGTCACCGTTTAATTTCCCCTCTGTTCAGTCCTCCTTTCTCCATTCCCCCGCAGATGTGGATCTGGAGATCTCTTGCCAGTAAGCTTCCTACATGAGACTGTCCACTCCAGAGTCTATGTCCTGGGGAAACTAACCTGAAACGGACACAAATGCCTCTTGTACGGTACAAAGCATGAAAACTGCTTTATGAGTGGCATAAACAGTCTGCTACAGGGGTATAAAGTCAGAAGGTGTCTCTGGCTGAGGTGATCTGAGAAAGCAGACTGCCCTGAGAGGCGGTGAAAATAATATATCAGTAGGAGCCAAGTGAAAGAGAATAAACTGGTCTCCAGGCAGCCAGATAGCATATGGAATCCATAGAGAGAACACTTCTTATGGTACATTAATAATTCAGATGCCCTCTATCCTCAGCAACTCCACCTCAGGTCCTTTCCCTTCTTTTCTTTCTAATTTTTTCACTCTCTTTTTCTAAATAGATAGTCCTTGCTGACAGACTGCACTTTGGTAATCATTGCACAATACAAATTAATGACTTTGTTTACAAGAGTCTTGCTAGTATTTTTTTTTTTTTTACCCTTTATACTATTTGGCTTTTAAAATCAAGTGCATATGGCGATATGGGTTTTCTTGTCTGTCTTTCTCTTTGCCATACGGTATTTATGTCTTTTTAAAAATTTTATTATGTGGTTGTCGATTCAGGGCATTTCACTGATGAGATTTACCAAAATACACCTACACATCAGCCCCTGAAAGACTGCCTGAATACAGACTGCTATTAGGAAAATGATCATGACAAGAAAACAATAACAAGAACAGCTTTAGGGAAGAGTCGGACCGTGTGTTCTTTTTAGAAGGGTTTGTATTCTCACACCCAGAAATAATTTATCAAAGGCTGTCACTCTGAATGAAATTAGATTTCTCCTTTAGTTTCAGGAATAAGCTGTTCCTAGAAAGGCAGAGCTCAAAAACATTTGATAAAAGATAAAATAAAATTATTTTTACTCATAGAAAGATGAGTTCACCATGTTACTTCCAGGGAAAGAACAAAAACCAGAATTCAGACATGCATCTGTCTGCAAAAGGCAGTGTTTCTCCTCACCCACCGCAGAGGCTGCCATAGTACACACGAAGTATTTAGCATTTTCAGTGTGATAGTTTTTGTTTAAGTTATAGCTGTATTCTACTTACTCATTTCAAGCATAAGTATCAATTAGATTCCGAGTTCATGCTGAAGCAAATTAGTAAGAAAAACCATGCATGAGGGATTTTTTCACTTATTTCTTCACTGTTTTCTTTTTGTCTATCACCTTCATTTGCATTCTAGGAGTCCCACTAAAGGGCTAAACACTTATTTACTTACTTAGAAGACATGGAAACTCTTTCAGTGTGTCTTGCAACTGCTTATCCTACCGAGGATTTCAGTTCACTATAGGATCAAAAGGACAGCCTGACTGTGAGAAGGTAGCACCACCTGTGGTCACAGCCACTTGGGAGGCAGAAGCAGGAAGGTGCTTGAGGCCAAGAGTTTTCCATTACCCTGGGCAATATAGTGAGACCCTGGCTCAAACAAAACAACAGCAACAACAACAAAGATGGCTGCCTGGTGTGAGTCATTGCACAAAGCTCTACAACTACCAGCTCCTAGGGTGCTGGTGCTAGCTGGTGCCAAGGTCACATGTACACCTGCCAGTAAGTGAGGACCTTGAAGCCCTCTCTGTCCTCCAGGCCAGCTTCCCAAGGGTCAGTCTTTCCAAACAACTGTCTTCTCAAATTCACTGTGACTAAATCTGACCTCTCTTCAAACTGAGGCCTTTCCTGATTTCCACTAGAGGCAAAGTTACACATGCAGAGTTGAAAGGAGCAAAAAGGTGTGTTTGGATCCAAACCCTGCAATGCATGTTTGCTGTTATGATTTATTCTTATGGGGGTTCAGTTTTCCTCTCTGTAAAATGTCCAAAAATATTCTTAGAATGTGCTGGATGCCTGGGTAGAGGGACTCCTGCAAATTTGGCTACTCAGAATCTGAGGTGCGAGGATCCCTTGAGCCCAGGAGTTCTGGGCCAGCCTGGCAACACAAAGAAACCACACAACAAACAAACTAACATAGTGGCTTTCTTATGCCTGTAATATCGGCATTCTTTGAGACTGAGGCAAGAGGATTAGAAGTTTGAGCCTAGCTTGGGCAATTCAGTGACTTATGGAGACAGTCTCAAAATTAAACAACAAAAAAAAAGAAGGATGGGGCAGGATAAGGCAGGGTGGCTGGGGTGAAGGCCCTGGGTTCATTCCTGAGTACAAAAGAAAAAGAAGAGCATGAAGAGGAAGAGGAGGAGGAGGAGGAAGATTCCTAGAATGTAGAATTACAGACATTTAAAAAGATAACACTGCCAAGTGTCTAGCACAGATCAAGGGACAAGCACAGGTGCTGAATAACCATGGGTTTCTGCTTTCCCGGCTTTTTCCTCTCAGTTAGCGAGCACAGTAGCTACGGTGGCCGTGATGCTACCAATTTTCCTCCCTCAATCTCTCTTTACCTTAAAGGCAATCATCAAATTATAGAAATCAAAACTAGCAAAGACCTTAGAAGTTGCACTCATTTGACTCATTGATAAAATAGAGACATAAGCCCCCAGTCACTGTCACAGTTTTGAGACCTCTGTCATTTCTCAAACAACTACTGTTTCACAATGGAATTTGTGACTTGATACTTGACAACTATACTGAACAAAGGGAATCAGCAACTGCTTAGTGATCAGATATAAATGCAGCTTTGGGCTCCTAAGTTAAGCTCTGTTATCTGAGCTATTGTCCTATGGTTATTTGTTGTTAAAGGTTTTTGATAGTTCTCTGTCCCTGGATGGCACCTCTGCACACATCCTTTCTCCCCTTGCCTTTCATTAACATGAGGAGAGGTGTCTGTCTCAGAGATAATTAGAAAAGAAAAGGATTACAGAAGCCAAACAAGTGAAAAAACAAGACAATTCCAAATGAATCAATATCAATTTTTAGAACAGTGAAAACGACTAGTTAATAAATTACATGCCCTGTACTCTGGAGCTGTTTACTCCGTGTAATACATGCTCTAGAGCAAGTTCATTTTTTGTTTTCTAAGAGTTTATGGTACTTATAATATTATAATATGACCATTCTACTAAGCAAAATAAGAATTAGACATGTGTATTTATGTGTTCTTTATAACAAATATTCTTCATTTCATATCCCATGCTGAATAACCACACACGATCCAAATCTCCTATCGAATATCTTTACCCTCATGGTCACAGCTAGAGACCATACTCATAAGTGAAATAAATCAGACCTGCATGTGCAAGCACCACATTGTTTCACTAGTGTAAAACCTGAAAGGGTTAATTTAAACTAGGAGGTGTGATAGACATTGTGAAATGATAGGAAAACTCAAGGGTAAAGGGCAACTGGGATGTGGGAAAAGAAAAGGGAAAGAAGGAGAAATTTTGTATGTATGTATATACAGGATAGTTAACATAGTTGTTCTACTGTCTTCCATTTCTTTGCTGAAAGAAACTGTCAATGAGTCCTTGATTGATCAATACTGCATGTCTCTGTTTTCATGAGAAACCACTTTGAAGATATCAATATGTAATAAAACAAGCATTGTTAATTTCCTACCACTTTGTTTGTAACTCTGTATTGTCTGTACTGTTCTTTTGCTATTTTGTAAAAGGTTGTCTGTCTGTTAATGTTTTCCTCCTTGTATTTTTAAAATTTAAAAAAATATATCTTTACCATGTCTTCCTATATTTCACATACAAGATGAAAATAAGTTATCCATAGTTAAATGTTTTAAACTTGACAAGAAGAAGAATATAAATCATGTGCTATGTTAGGGTACAAATAACTACCTTTATAAAAGATTCCATTTCTTTCATTTCTCTAGATACGCTGAATATATTTATCATCCAGGTTTCTCCCAGTAATAAAACTAGGCCGGGAGAGAGTGAAAGATGCTACATCTAGTGATGATCTCTTGTACTGAAACCCACTTATTTGTCAGAGCAGTGTGACAAGATGCTGGCCTCATACTTCCACGTTGCGCTCTGAGTCCAGTGTACTGATGCCATTCAGTGGGAGGCAAGCAAACAAGCAAAATGCCACAGCACAGCCCAGGGTCCCGGTGAGTTACCTCTGAAAGGCAAAGCCATGCTGCTCACACAGGAAGGTGATAGTGATAAGGATTCCAAGGCTGAAGTGCTTCATCCCAGCAGAGACTTGCTTCACACAAAGCTCTGTGAGGAGAAAGGCCTGGATGGTTGGTTGCCTAAGAGCCTTCTTTACATACTGGTTAAAGTGTAACAGCGTGTTCCATCTCATTCCTGTGGCTCAACCAGCTCAGCTCCCATCTGCACCCCCAAAGAGAGAACACACATTTGATGACCGAGCCTTCAAAGAGAGAGAACAGGGAACACCCCTGTTAGCAGTGTAGGTTTTCCAGAGAGCATTCAACTCCTCATGGCCAATAAAGATGAGAACAAGAGCATAGCAAATAAGATCTGGTTCTTTGAAGAATCACAGCCAGAATCACAGCTATTGACTGATGGCTCACAGCCCACATTGAGGCAGATCTTGAGTGCTTGCTGCTGTCTTTTTCAACATTTTTCACTTAGGTGAAGACCTTAAAGGGAGAGTCCTTATGTGTGTGGTTAATGCAAGGCTGAGAAGCAGAGGTCATGTGGAAGATTATAAAATCTCCACTCAAAATAGTTTTCCTTGACCTTAGAGAAGTATAATAAAGGATAGACCTACTACAAGAAGGAATACAGTGTCATGCAGGCTAGTTCAAGCAGTAAGAACATTAAGTAGCTCAAAATCACATTAATTTAGGAAAAATCACCATAATAGCCATCATCTAAGTCAAAACCCACCACTCCTCATTTTAAAAGTGGCATTATAAAACACTCTGTTAATACAAAATCTCATCTAAACTCTGTAAGGTATCCTTTCCCACAGCTCCATTTGTAAGGATATTTGAATGTTCTTGAGGTTAGGATAAAGAAATTTGCAAAATAAATCAGCTTGTTCACAGCAAACAAGTAAGGGGTAAAAGACAGCTTTTAAGCTGTCCCTCTGAGTTTAAAACATTGAAACAAATTTAATGATTGGGGTGACACTGACTGAAGCTACATTTTTCATAAAAATGAAGAGGAAATAAGAAAATACATGTTCATTTGTGGATAATGCACACACACACATGCACACACACGCACACACACAAGGACAGAGAGAAATCAATGAGCTTGAACACCTATAATGATGGGAAGGGATGGGGGAGTAAGAACCAGACAGAAGAAATGGGATAGGGAGGCTTTTTGAATAAACTTTTTGAGTAGTCCTCAATTGTACATTCATGTTTTCACATATTCAAACAAATACATTTTTTAAATGAATACAAACAAAACCAAATGAACCAGTGTTTCAGAGGAGTAACATAAACACGGTGAAGCAGAGAACTAGCCCATAATAGCTTTTAGCTGTCCTTAAACACAAAAAGTAACTTCTTTGAACCAGGAATCAAACTCAGGACCTTGTGCTGGCCAGGCAGATTCTTGTGCCGCTGAGCTATATCCCCAGCACCCCAAAGTAACTTTAAGCAGTCAAACATTGCAATATGCAAATAAGTTTTGTCCAGTATATTTTGTGTCCTGTGTTTCCTCCAGAGAGCAGAAAAATTAATACACTGTGTGTTACACTTCTTCCTTATGAAGAATCTTTCAAAATCCCCTTTAACAAAGGGTTTTTACTCGGGTATACACATTTTTTCATAACTAATCTAACTGCATGCTGAAGATCTGTACATTTCACTGGTGTACCTCAATAAAAAGAAAAAAGAATGGTACTCACTGCCACCTCAGACTGACTTATAAGTAGCTGCTGGTGTGCAGGAGATTGAGGAGGAACTAAACTAGACAAAACTATGTCGGTCAAATGATACAACCTTTCATGCTCTGTGTCTCTAGTATTAACTTCATTCTACCCTCACTTTCAATGCTAGTTTAGCTGCTTGTGACGTTGCTGTGTGACAGATGCTTTGTGTCTTTGGCATCTGTTGTCATTTGGTAGGAATCTGCTATTGCTGTTCCACTCCAGGTGAGCTGTCCTTCGTACTCGATGGTTTTTGAGGGATTGTTTATATCTTTGATGCTTCTCAGATCCATTACTCTTGTTTAGATGTGGATTTACTTTGTATTATCTTGCACAGTACGCAGAATGTACCTTTTATCTGAAGACTTAGCTATTCCTTCTGTCTTTGGAAACCACTTTATTGTTTCATCAGCTAGTGCAGTTCCACTAGTCCCTTGTTGAATTGGGGCTTCCAGTGAAGTTTCTTGTTCTCTTCTTCATGTCTTGTAGCTTCCCTAACCTCCCCTTCCCTTCCCTTCCTCCCCTCCCTTCCCCTCCCCTCCTCTCTCTTCTCCTTTCCTTTCCTTTCCTTTCCTTTCCTTTCCTTTCCTTTCCTTTCCTTTCCTTTCCTTTCCTTTCTCTTCCTTCCTTTCTTTCTTCTTTTTTATTTTTTTCACTTTTTTTAGCACTGGAAATTGAGCCCAGGACCACCACATTGAGCTGTATGCCAGCCCTTTGTATTCATATACTAATTTTATGTTGAGACAAGGTCTTGCTAAATCATGAAGTTCAGCAGACTGGACCCAACTTTCCATCCTCTTGCCTCAGCCTCCAGTAGTGCTGAGATTACAGGCGTGAGCCACCATGTGCAGTTTATCAAGCTTATTGTTTAGTCTTTTATGGATAAAATTCCTCCTGATTTCTCTACCTCTGTCTCTGTCCCTGTCTCTAGCTCTGAGGGTTAGACTCAGGCCCACATGCAAACTAAGCAAGTGCTCTAGCACAGTTTCATCCTCAGGCACTCTTTCAGCTCTCTTGATGGGAATCCCAAGAACACCTAAAGTCTGTGTCACACTGCCATATACAGTTAATGGTTTGAAATGAGTTCATGTTCTGAGTGTTGCTTTTGTTAGTTGTCTTGTGTGACGTTTGGTTTCTTCTCTCATTTGGAACACTGGTTTGTAGTTCCACTGTAAGGAAAACATCTTTTGGGTAGAGAATCTTGAATTTTCTGTTAGCATCCAAGCAATGATAGGCTATCTTATTAGCTTTTATGTGGAGGACAAATTAAATCCCTAATACAACTGTTGATAGAAGGTTCCAAGTTCCTAGAACATCCAAAATGATTTTAAAAGGAAAGGACAAAGTTGGAGTACAGAGGTTTCCTGACTATGACGCTATGATAGTTGAATCAGTATAGTGCTGGCATCAGGACAGAGTCCAGAAACAGAAATCAGTGACAAACACAGAGTCTAGAAATAGGTCCATACCTATAAGATGAGCTGATTTCCAACAAAGTTGCCAAGATCATTCAATGGAGAAAGGATAGTACTTTAGCAAACTGTGTTGGGCAAATATGATATCCATATGCAAAAGAACTCATCTGTAGCCATACTTTGCACCTTATAAATACATTAAGATAGATTTCAGGCCTAAATGTAAAAGCTAAATTATAAAACTTTCAGAAGAAAATATATGAGAAAAAATTTTGTGACGATCAGTTTAGCCAAGATTGGATACTTTTGGTATGACACAAAAAGCATAAATGAAACAACTAAAAAATTAGACTTCAAAGTTAAAGGCACTTGCTCATTTTGTTTGTTTGTTTGTATTTATTTATTTATTTATTTATTTCAGAGTGGCTCTATTTTTTTGCATTCTGAGTTCAGGTTGCTTCCCATTCTATTGCTTCATTTGTCAGCCTTTTTTATTTGAACCATACCAGAGGTATGTGGTGGTAAATCTTTAATTCTCATCTCTTTAATAATGAATGATGCTGTGTGTGTGTCTACAGGTCATTTGCATATTTGGTAAAGTGTCTGTATAATTCTTCCATTGATGGATTGTTTTATTTTTTATTTACACATGTTCTTTAAATACTTTACACACAAATGTTTATCTGATATGTGTTCAGCAAATATTTTCTTCCAGTCCATGGCTTATCTTTTTTATTTTACTTAACAGTGTCTTTTAATGATCAAGTGCTGCCAGGCATAGGGGGTCATTAATCCCAGCACTTGCGAGACTAAGGCAGGGAGATCTCTGTGAGTTTGAGGCCAACCTGGGCTACATAGTGAGTTCAAAGCCAGCCTGAATTATACAATGAGACCATGTTTCAAAAATAAATAAATAAATACTTTTTGTTGGTAGTTTCTTGTAGTTAAGTATATGCTTATCGTATGTCTTACAAGTTCTATCCTAGATATGTACCCAAGTAAAATACAAATATTTGTCTATAGGAAGACCTGAAGGTCAGAGCAACTGAGTGTTCAAAAAGCCAAATGTTTGTAGCAGCTTTATTCATAATAGCAAAGGACAGAAATGAAACAATCCAAATGTCTACCAACTGAGGAGTGGATAAACCAACTGTGATACATCTGGACAATGAAACGTACTCAACAGTTAAGAAAAACAAAGCATGGACACATGCCTCAGAAGCTTGTCTTGTAAAACTCACCATGTATGAAAAGATTTAGATAGTACCACTTCATCTGTATGATACCCTCTGAAAGGCAAAACTAAAACAGATAATAGGTAACTTGTTGCCAGGAGCTAGACCTATGGGGAATGGTTAACCTACAAGGAGGTCCAGGATATATAGTGGTAATTGTTACACAATTGTACCCTGCCAAGAGTCCTCAAACCTGACATTTACAAGTTGAATTTTATTGGGAAAAAAAAGGGAAGAAAGGCAGGAGGGAGGTCAGCAGGCTCTCAGGAAAGTTGCGTTCCTCACTTCTTGCCTCTCCTGGGTGCCTCTCTGCTCGTCATGGCATTTTGTGGGGAATGGAAATACGCAGAAGTTGGACACAATGTGCTCTACCCCTAGTTGTGGGATCACTTGTCACCTGCAAACCTCCTTGGCCTCTTGGATATACAGCTTCTTCTTTGGAAAAAAGTGTTAAGTTAATAATACTACATCAAGTGTAAAGTTAATAATAATACCTACATCAGAGAGCTGTTGTGAGGATAGGGTAACGTGATAAACTGTTGTGTCAGTTTGAGTAAGAAATGCACAACTAAATTGGATCAGCACAGCTCTGGGTGTGGCCGAGGGAACTTACTGAAGACAGAAACCCACCCTGGTGTGAGTGGCACCGAGCAATACACTTGTAGCTTGAATGAATAATAAGGGGAACAAAGAAGGAGGCTCACTTCTGTTTCTTAGGAAGACGCCAGTCCTCACCTTCGC